TAAACAATATGGCAGAAGATTTTGAATGTATGCCTACTTCTCCCTCAGAATCCATCGATTTGGAGAAGTTTCGAAAGCTCGTTCGAAGTTATATAGAAAGGGTAAGATTTGTTTGTTGTTAAACTATTGAGATTAATTAGCATTATGTAAAAGAGGAAAGTACCTTTAGGAGAAATGGGATGTCAAAGATGGGGACAATTTGACAGTCTCGATTTTGACATCGTCTGTCTCAATCTTTTCGACAAGGTAAGCATAGTCATTGTGTGATTTCTTATTTTTCTGTAGATTGAGCATTTAAGTAATTATTAAGGTAATTATTTGGCATAACACATTACAATGATAGTGGTACTAATGGTTTCTTTTCACGCTGTACTATTATATGCATAGAAAAATATTGTGGGGAAGCCTCCTGTACCCCCTACCCATATATTTAAGGTAAATACGAAGGATATTTGGGAAATTGAGGTGTAGAATATGAAGTCAAACATATATATTGCAGTTCCATCACTTCCTCCCACAGGAATAGTGTTGTCATCATGTCTTCCTGAACTATGCACTCTTTTGGTATTTAGTAGCAGTGTTTTAGGGTTTTAGGGGGGGCTATGTCCTCAATATTACAGCTTATGGTATGCCTCTTCATCTTAAGGTTTAGCGTGTGATCTTTTTTGTGATTGGTCATAGGCCCTATCCTGCTGTGAATGTGTGGTGGATGTATCCTCAGTAATAGGTCATTAACTTAAAATTTCTCATACACATTGGCTGTACACCTCATTCTCCTTCACTTTTAATCCTGCAGTTTCTCCAATATATATCGTCCATGCTGTCCCCTATTATCAGGGGCAAGTTTGTGGGGTATAGGGAGCTTTCACACCATAATTCATACACATACCGTGTTCCAAATTTGGCTCCATATATGTGACTGGGTCCTGCAGTTTCTAATATATATCATGCTGTCCCTATTATCAGGGGCAAGTTTGTGGGGTAAAGGGAGCTTTCACACCATAATTCATACGCTCAGCGCGTTTCAACAGGCCTTGTCTTTGTCTAGGACCTGACTTGTGCCAGAGTGCTCAGTCAAGCTTACTTTTTCAAGTGCGAAGAGCATCGTCATACTAGACTGCACATGCCTCTTGCTTGATTAACGGCACACATCATACTTCTCATTTGAGTAACGTGGAGCACAAGGACTTATTCCCTGTTTTCTCCATAATTTTGTGTTTCATGGTGTATAATTTTTTGAAGAAAGCCTGGATGGAAAATATGTTGGTTTTCGCAGACGCATCGTAGTGAGCAACGACAATGCATATGATAGTGAGCAACGACAACGACAATACAAATTTGTATTTGTATTTAGTGTGTCACTTTTCGCAGACGCATCGTAACAAGCAACGACAATGCATAGGCTGTGGCCTGCGAGCAAATGACATTTATGGACCGAGCAACAGAGATAGTTTTCCACTTTTAATAACGATGTTCTGAAGTGACAATAATTAAGTAATTGTTATTTATATTTGTTTTTGAATATGGATGAACTTTGTTTTGTTTTGTTGTGTTAGTGATGTTGGAATTCAAATATCTGCGAGAAGGAAAATTGGGTGGGAGTAAAAATTATTATCGTTGCAACTCAAGATCGGCGTCACTGCAAATATTTAAGTGTTTTCCAAATTGGGAAGAAAGAAGAATGGAAACCGATTTACTGATTTAAAATTACCTCTAGTCTGATGGACTGTCAACACAAGTGTAGATCCTCAGTTTCAAATTAGCCTTTTCTTGTGTATTTGATTTTAGTAATAAAAAATAACAAATTCTTTGATTTTAGTATCTAAATGACAAATTTTGTGATAAATAACTAAATGTTTTACTTAAAATCTCTAATATAGCCTTTTTTGATATTATAGATTCCTAATGATATTGATAATTTCTTTGAGCGAATTACAGACAACAGTTTTTGATTGCACCCTGGAATGCCTGAAAATACCTGAATAAAAAGAACGCTCTAGGTTGAGTTATCGCTGATTCCCCTCAGCCCCCAGATTTTGCACCAAAGTGATGCAATACGACCCAGATAGCTATGGGCACGGCAAGACCAGCACATACACTAGGCCAGTTGAACCACACCTGCACATAGTAGAGAGTGAGAAGAAAACTCCAGCACTACTATTTTTGTGATCTGTGATTTGCAAGGAATCTGAACATTTGTTCATTATCAAATAGCAAGCAAATTTTCTAATTAAGATTTCCAAATAAGTATCTAAAATAGATAATAGATAACGGTTTCCAGCTCTTTCAAAGTTTTATATGATATAGATAAGATGTACTGTGATATTAGAGATCTGGAAGCTTCACTGCCTGTGCGTGGCCCAAAATATGGGCATTAGGCTTACTTGAGCAGCCACTTTGACAAGTATACAACTTATAGGACAGGCACACATGGATACTCTTGTGCAGTGACAAGACATGGTACCTCCTCTTTGCTTTTTTTTTTTTTTTTTCTCTTCTTTTTCTTTTTTCCCCTTTTTTCTGCTTTTTTCTTTTCATTTCTTTTTTCTGGCATAAATGTTGTTTTTTTTTTTTTTTTTTTTTTTATTTCCCAATATGTATATTTGTTATTTGATTTGCTTTATCCAGATGATTGCTTTCTTTGCACAAACTACATATCATCTCTCTAGATAGTCCATAACTCAGTGCAGTATTAATAACAATTAGTAACATTTTACTATCTGTGTCTTCGTTTTTTCGTAATATTTAAATTTCTGTAATAAAATCTGTCCTGCCAGTCATAGTAGACGAGATTCTTATGCCGAACATGGAAACGGTGTCCTTCCAGAAGCCAGTGCTCTTCTGGTCATGGCTCACGGATGGTAATTCCACACTCATTTATCAATGGAAATAATGCAAAAACCCTTTCCTAAATGCCCACTGAGTCTAATCACCCTCCAAGAACTTTGTGCACTTGTGGTGAGCCATACCCACCACCCTGGCCTTCAGCTGAAATTCTCATGACAACTAGTTCCCGTCACCCTTGCCCTGAGCCAAATTTTTCCATGAAGGTGAGATAGGTAGAACTGGTTACTGACTCTTTGGTGAATAAGTACTTGTGAAGCCATCTACGTGTAAGGACAATTAATGTGTTGTATTGTGAAAAAGTATTTCTTTAGCCATTCCTTGAAGTTATTATTATTATTTTTTTTTTGAGCCACTTTATTTCTTTGATTATGCAATAAAAGAACTTAGACATTTTGTGTATTGAACTTTCATCTACTTTGATCAACATTTGCACTGAAGGATAATTTTCAGTTTTCCCTAAATTTTGGTTACTGTAGTTCTATTTGTTCACATGAATTTAGGTAAATAAGTTATTAATGATATATGTTTCTATTTACGACCTAAAGGAAGAATTTCTCATTATTTTACAGCACCACTACAAAGCAGCAGTCTTCTGGGCAGACAAAGTAGTTAGCCTGAGCAATGGATCTCCTGCAGACGTGTACTGGTTAGCGCAGAGTTACTACCTCACTAAGCAGTATCATCGAGCCATTCTGCTGATCAACGGCCACAAACTCACAAGGGTATTAGATTTCTCATAATTTGTTTTTTTCATCAATTTGAAAGGGAGATTTGTGTGTTTCTGTTGTATTTGTTATTGGTAGTTTCTTTGGAGTTAGGATTATTTTTGATTGTCTGGGAATTACATCGTTTGAAGTGATATCCTCAGAGATTTATGTTTCAGAGAGCTGCCAACAAAGCTTCAAGTCTGGTTTCCACAAGTCATATAAAGCCTTGCTTCAAGCGCTACCACGATTTGCGTAGACTCCCATTTTGTTTATGTTTATTACTCTTCCCTGGGATGGTGTTTCAAGGGATTTACTGTTCGAATAACTGTGTAATAATACTAAATTAGTACCCAGGCTGAGGCAAACCAGAAGGGTGATAATCCCTGGCTTGAGTCTGAAACTAGAGTCGATTAAATGGAATCCAAGCTTCTTTGGGTTTATGAAGCAAAGAGCAATCCGGAGTCTTAAGTAAAAAAAAGTTCAATTTAAGAACAGATAGAAAGATCAGCCTGAAGAACCTGTTTTTATTCTATGATTATTTTACATATTTCTTTTATTTGTTATGATTTGTAGAAAGAAAAATTCACCCTGTTAATTTCCTCTCCCTTACCTGCAGAATGCCACCTGTCGATACCTGGTGGCACTTTGCTACTATGAGGTGGGGGAGTATCACTCTGCGCTTGACATCTTGGAGCGCAGTGAGAACAATAATGTGTCTCGCATCAAAACTGAGGGGGAAGCCATTGCTGTTCCAGAGATCGATGACACAATGTCGGCAAGTTCACATTTGAATTTGTGAAGTAAAAGATTTCTCTATATATAATGTATATTTACTTCTAATATTATATCCTCATGATGCAGATTGTAATGAATTTTTGTACCTCCTCCTTTTTTAGATTGATTGCTCAACACATTTATTGAAAGGTTATATATATGAAGCTAGTGACAACCGAGCATTAGCTGTGGAGAGCTTCCGAGCAGCAGTGCAGGCTGATCCACTTTGTTATGAGGCGATACATGCACTTACGCAGCATCACATGCTAACTGTGAAGGAAGGTTCGTTCATATTTAGTAATTTAATGGTCCTCTTTAGGTGCAAGAGGATTTGATTTTCCCATATTTGATGATTCAGTTCACTTTTCACTTTGATGTTATTTTTTGATGTATCTGTAACAGGTTTCATGCAATGGCCTACTTGGTCTCCTGTCTATTCCTCTTTGTGTCTCAGTAGGCATGTTTAGTCTTTAATGTGTACTCATTTACTTTTTTTATGCACTTTCTGAAATTGTTATAAGTCAGTTACTGTTTTTGTTGTTCATGCAGTTCTCTAGTGTTTTGCAAATTTTCTTCTTTTTTTTTTTTACCTGTTTATGATAATGGGGGATGTGTTGAATATTATGTTCACATTATTTTTATTCTTATTTATTTATTTATTTCAACAGAGAAAGACCTGCTGTCCTCCCTGCCCTTATCTCGAACTTGCAGTGAAGCAGAAAGTGCTGTGGTCTTGGCAGTATATGAAACAAGAACCAATAAATACAGCTCACCCAGTACGCCATTGCCACAGCCCGCTGCTCCACTGGCAACGAACGCTGACTTCATTACAGCACAGGCTGAAAAGCTCTACTACAACTGCAACTTTGCACAGTGTCATCGATTAACACAAGAGTTTGTATTGGTCTTCTTTACTATTTATTGCTTTTATTGTGTCTGTGATTTTTCTACAAGATGCTGTCATTGGATGTTCTTTTGCTGCAAATTACAATGATTGTGTAATTTATTTTCCGCTCTTTATAGATGTTGAATGGTTGGAATCTTAATTAGATTAGAAACTTATTTCCTAAGATCTGAAATCCCAAAAGATAAGTGACAGTAATTGAATAGTTAAATGGACTAACTCAAATGGCAATAGGTTATTTCTAGTGAGAATTTTTCCATGTCCTTCATTTTTCTTGTTACCTCAATGGATTAAAAAAAACAGGTATTATCTATCTATCTCCCCTTATAACAGATCTTACAGAAGAAAAGGAAACGAGACCAGAATTTTACAAGGGGTTCAAGTACTAACTAAAGGTTATATAAAGAATAATTCCTCTTTCCAGAGTACTGAAGAAAGACCCCTACCATACAGAGTGTCTGCCTATTCATGTTTCCTGCTTAGTGGAGTTAAAACAGTCGAACAGCTTAAACAGTGAGTGCCTCTTGACTTTATTTTATGATCCTCATATGGAATTTTGATTAACACTCGCTCTTTGCTCATACGTAGCTCACTATTACCAAAGGCTTCTATTCACTGAACCTTTATTTACTTTTTCTTCAAGCTCTCTTATTATCCTTAGGCTCGCGATGATCACGTATCGTTAAAAACAAGGGTAAAACTCTTTTTCCTTTCATGATGATTCACTATGTCCTTACAATCAACCCCAACCACACCACACCACATATTATGTAATTAAGAATTACTTTATTATATATAATATATATATATAATAGTGAATAGAAAAAGATATACTTTATAGAAATAATATAATTATAATATATATATGTTAAAGATAATATATAAATAATATATAAACATACAATCTATTAATTTTCATATTAGGTAAGATACTAATGATATATTTACTACTTACTCTGACCACAGTAATAGAATAAACTAAAAACACTTTCTATCAAATATATAAGTTAGATAATAACTTAAAAGCTATATACTGCATATATAATTAATATAGGTATATACGTTGACTTGATCATAAACCCCCTAACAACACGCCATAAATTTTTAGTTGCATACTGGTCTTGAACTATAAATAATGACAAATGAATAGAATGATTTACAATTATTAATAATGTAGTAATAAAAATATTTATAGTAGTATATAAGTATATCATACTTCACACACGATCACATTACAACAAAAGATTATCATTATTTAATCAATGTATAGAATTCTTATATAATATTTAATATATATTGATATAAAATTATTGTTGTTAAATAATAATAAAAATTTAATTATAATATATTATATTTAAGAACTATTATTATATAACATACATATGAACACACACACACAACCACACCAAACACAACACCACACAACACGACACACACACCACATACACACACTACACACACAACATCGAATATATATAAATATAATTAATAGTATATAATTAATAATTATACAATTATAAAATAGTTCAAACCACGACACCACACACACACACACACACCACACACAACAACACAAACCCACAACACTCAACACACCACAAACCACAGCACAACAATAATATATTATATATAATGTAATACTACAATATAATATAATTATATAATAAAAACATCTAACAATTAACTTATCACCATAATAAGGTTATTGTTAATATCGATCTAATATCATAAGGTTAATATCTATCAAACAATAAGAACTTAGGATGAAAACTAATCTTATCACACAGAAGAAGTGCTTTGTCAAATGGTTCTGTAATGGAGATGTATTATATTTGTATGATTAAATTTTCATTTCTTTTAGTAATTAATGAAAACATTATAAAGAGATAAATTATCAGAAAAGGAATCTGATTCGAGTATAATAAAGAATAAAAACAAAAATAAAAAATGATGAAATATCGAAAGGAAAGAAGAAAATAAAATGGCAGATATATTATTTTACTAGACAAAAGTCACTCAAACTTCCTTGTAAAATGAGGATTAGTGTGCAATGTCAATGATGTGAATACACTGCATAAACACTATATATTTACAAAAAAATATTCATAATCCTAATTTATCACATAACTATACTACCCCAGGTAAGAAATGAACAAGCAAGAAAGCAGTACCTGAGCCAAAGCCACTGCCCATAGTGACATGAGTCTTTAGCCCTGCACTGGAATTGCCTAGGCATAAAAAAATTCTATTATCGAGCCAAGAATGAAGCATGACCAGGCCATTACGCGTAACATTCAAAACAGCATGCCCAGCACTGACATGAAAGAGTAGATTAAGACACACATTAGACCCAACTGCTACTATATTGGCATGGTATTAGAACAAGAGTAATGGACTCACCAAATAATACGCCAAGGTTTTGCTGATGAAGGTTCTGTCAAGGAGCACTGGACATGCAAGCCTTGAGTGATTCCATTTGTCTGCGAACTAGAATTGGGTCTGTATGTCCTTTTTGTAACCAAGAAAGTTAAAGTAAATAATATGATTTGGTATATTAGATCCTGACTTATATTTACTGTTAATTTAAGTCACCTGAGGGTAGCGAGTGACATATCTTCATTGGCCATTTTATTCTCAATGAAAATTCGTCAACGGTGATATGGTTAATAGATCCAGTAGAATGCGAATATGATTCCTGAATGATTAACAAGCAACCCAATTATAATTGTGTAATAGTGAGGAATTAAAAATTGATAACTGAAAGACATACGGACACCCACAAAACTATAAATAACAAGGAAATATATTTTATAAATATACGAGTTACAGAATCTTCCCAGCCATTTAAATCACCATTTCATTTGACTTCTCCAAATTTCCAGTTACATCTCTGCAGAGTTATACCTCAGAAGAGCCGTGGCGTTAGTGGAAGACAGTGGGGTCGTGGTGGTTCCTGAGAAGTGGGCAACGCTCTTAAACAACCTCGCACATACATGTCGGAAACTTCACAAGTATGAGAGAGCATTTGCCATTTTCCATCGAACAGGTAGTGGTTGTCTATTTTTCTTTCTTTTCATCTCTCTTTTCCTTGCTTTTATGTTATCAATAAGTAAGTGTGATTTGTGTAGTTTAAGTATTCATTAAATATAGATATTAGTATTGTTTAAGATTAATTAAATGTGGTCATCTGTAGTTTCCATAGGTATTGGACTGTGCCATTCGCCTATGCATGGTTAATAAAATGACAAAAAATTTCACAACAAAAAAATAGATGCAAGACCAGAGCCTGTTAAAACAAAATAAATAAATTTCCTAGAGAATAGTTAAACAGATAACATTGATGATCGATAGTATGATTCTCTCAGATGCCATCAGGCTAGTGACTCTCCTAAAAAGAGGAGTCCTCGAAGGTACGAATCTAAAACAAAAAACAAGAACAGGAAACACGAGAAACAACACAGACACAGAAGTTAAAATTAAATATTATAACACGAGTAAAATAATTTATTTCGAATTTTATCAACAGATAGAGAAAATTCTAAGGAGAGGACTTTGAAATTATGTCCTGGAGTATCCTCTACATACTCAAAGACACCTCGGGTTTGGTGCCGTCTTTGCTAACTTGGCGTTACGAAAATGCCCAACCAGAGCATAGGCAGCAAGTTGTGTCACTCCAACAAGCACTCTCTCTGCACCGTTGACGACACACCACCAGCCACCACTCTTCTCAACCACTGTTCAATGTAAATCAAAAGACTGATGACACCATGACACTCAAAGCATCCAGGTATGTTTTTTTTGACATGCATTCATTATTTCCTATTAACTTATCTACTTCGCTACTAAAACAAAAACTACGACGATCTCCATAATTCTAATCATCCTTCTCCTTTTTTTTAAAAATCATTATTAACGAACTATGAAATCCTACCACCTCATAGATTACTTCTCTATCAATCCTAACCATCCTACCAAAAAAACAAGACACATAAAACAACTTCAATAAAAAAAATAAAGAAATACGCAATTCCTCTCCTCCAACATATCAAAAACAAAAGAAAAAAAAAACAAAAAACCATCCATAAACGAGGAAAAACAGAAAAAAAAAAAGAAAAACCTACACACAAACAACCACTCTGCTCACAAGCAAAAGTCCAAAAAACAAACTCCTCCACTAACCATCATCCTCACCTAAAACCTCACTACAACTCCTGCATCCTGCTCTCAACAAAATAAACCTCACTCCTCAAGATCCATCACACATGCATACTCCTCGCATTAGCCTCTTCTTACACACCTAATCCTCAATCCTCTTCCTTATTCCTCCTTAAAATCCACACAGCATGCTCCTTCTCTCCTCCTCCTCCTCCTCCTCCCCTCCTCCTCCTCTTCTCCTCTTCCTCCTCCTTCGTCCTCCTCCTCCTATCCTCAAAAAAAGCTATAAAAACCTCAACTAACAAATAAGAACAAAACCTCAAAACCAACCTACGAAACGTAAAAAAAACCACAAGAAAAAAAAACCAAAACCACTACACTACACAACCCAAACAAACCTTACATTAAATACACACCAACCCTTGAAAAACCTCCCTCCGCAACCTTTCCTCAAGACCATCCATAGCTCACTGACGATCTCTCCTAAGACCCCTCCAATCACTTACATTCCAATAAGCTTACCTCGTTCCTTCTTCCCGATCCTCCAAGAGCACTCTCACATTCTCGCCCTCCTCCTCTCTTGCCTGACCTCCTTTCTATCCCTCCTCCTGACTCCTAAGCCATCGCTCCTTCTCCATCCTCCTCTCCTCCTCTCCTCCTCCCTCGTCATCTATCACTGCAATCCCTCCTCACTCTTCTTCCTCTTCCATCTTCCTCTTCCTTTTCCTCCTCCTCTCTTCCTTCTCCTTCTCCTCCTCCTCCTCTCCTCCTCTCTCCTCCTCCCCTCCTCCTCCTCCTCCTCCTCCTCCTCCTCCTCCAACTCTTCTCTTTACATTTAGCTTCAGTGATCTTGCTTCATGGTATTGGCTATGATGATTTTGCTTGTTTTAACCTGTTTTTTCTTTAATCTGTCTGTCTTTTTTGAGGTTATTAATAAATAACAGCTGTGATAGTTAAAAAAAGAAAATAGTTTGAATTCATTATAGGTTGAAGAGTGACCTTACGAAAAGCCCCCGCCCCTCAAATACATATATAATGGACAATTAAGTATAATGAGTGACACTTTTGAAAAAATGTAATCACTGTGATAGGTCTTGAAATGCTGAATTAACCTGTAGTATCTCCATCAACCCCAGGAGACGACAACATACCCCAGTTGGATCCTCCCTCCGATATTGTGGGAACTGACACCAACGCTAGTGACATTACCAGCGACATCACACCAGCCTCAGCAGATGATCCTCTTAGCGACTCAAATCTATTGGGAACTAGCATAGGTGGGTAGTAAAGGTATTTTTTAGTGAATATAGAAAGTTATTTGTATGATCCCTGTTCTTCTTAGTATCTTTATGCTGTTATTTCCAGCGTGACTAAATGGTTGATTATTTTTCTTTTCACTTCTTTGTAAAATTCCCAGATGAAAATTATATATATAGTATGATTAGTTAAAACATGATTTTGTTTTCTAAGTATTACAGATATTTTGTTTTACAATTTACGATTGCCAGTAAATTAAAGAAATAATTCTTTCTGTCTCCAGTTGTGGTATGTGAGATATATAACTTTTTTCATTGATTTACAGGTCAGCCTGTGATGCATTCTTCAGATGTTGGGAGAGATTCCTTGAGCCAATCCTTAGGTCAGTCGACTGCACTTCTCATCGAGGATATGGTCATGGATGATCAGAGTCCATAAAAAAAAATAAATAAATAAATAAAAACAATCTAATAGGCATTATTGGTGGTATTTTTTAAGTACTTGTATCCGCAATCAATATAATGACAACACATAATCCGTAAAGATATATGTTTCATGAATTTGAAAATAAAGTGTCACTTTAGCTTAGGACTTTGTTTTAATTTTGACCCAGAGGGAGATGGGGTATGTGAAAGTACATCATTCATATAATTGAATGTGTGTGTATGCGTGTGTGTTTGTGTGTATTTGTGTGTGTATGTATGTGTTGTGTGTGTGTGTGTGTGTGTGTGTGTGTGTGTGTGTGTGTGTGTGTGTGTGTGTGTGTGTGTGTGTGTGTGTGTGTGTGTGTGTGTGTGTGTGCTTACAGAATATAAATATATATATATATAAATATAATATATATATATATATATATATATATATATATATATATATATATATATATATATATATATATATATATATATATATATATATATATATATATATATATATAGTAAATATGTATATATAATATATATATATATATATATATATATATATATATATATATATATATATATATATATATATATATATATATATATATATATATATATATATATAATATATATATATATATATATATATTATAATATATATATATATATATATAATATATATTATTATTATATATATATATATATATATATATATATATATATATATATATATATATATATATATATATAATATATGTATATATGTATATATATATATATATATATATATATATATATATTATATATATTATATATATATATATATATATATATATATATATATATATATATATATATATTTATATATAATATATGTATATTTATATATAATATATATATATATATATATATATATATATATATATATATATATATATATTATATATATATATATATATATATATATATATATATATATATATATATATATATATATATATATATATATATATATATATATATATATATATATACACTGGATAAGGCACCTGAGTACTGATGCTGTGTATTCAGGATTCATGCTTGTAAACAAAATTAGAAACAAGTAAAATGTGTGAAGATGGTCACAATAAAAAAACGATTTTGATCTATTTCTCTAATATATTTTTAGAATTTTTCCTTTTCTCTCTCCTATCTTTAGATTTTTCTTTGTGTCAGTACATCAAAGCATACAACATACAGAAGAGAGAAAATATGATGAAAAGTAAGAGATGAAACGAAAATGTTTGTCATACACGTTAATTCGTTACAAAAGCAAACAAAACTGCAGCAGGTACTCAAGCATTCATATTTTGCATTTGACATTTCCTAGGCATGTAATGTTTCCCTTATATTTATCTGTTTTATCAGTACTTTCCTCTGTACTCTGTTATCCATTCTTCATAAACAATAAGGTAAAATGCAAAGAAACCACTTAAATAAAGAAAAAAATCAGTTATAATAAAGAAATTGAAGTAAAAGACCAGAAAAAAATCAGTACAATTTTTTTTATAATAGTTAAAAATCAAAACGTTTCTCAAACTCAATTTTAAAAATCCAATTTCAAAAAGACCTGAAAGTGTGAATTATAAAAGGAAAAAAATGAGAAGTAGAAATATTTTAAGTCACTGGCAATGGGTAAATGTACTATCCACTGTGGATTTATTTTATGATTTTGTTTAAACAGAATTTATTAAATCACATTAGGGATGATTCCTTGACCTCCCCCGGTACCCCATTCCGTGAGATTTTGTCAAAAGTTTTTCCAATACTTATTATAATTTCTGTTATTTTTATTATTAATATTATATTAACAATACTAATAGTAATAAAAAAGAAAATAATGGAAAGGGGTAAGGAGGTGAGATAGGTAAGCCTTGTAATTAACCTTTGGTGAGTGAGTGCTTCAGGAGCTACCTATGTGTAAACAAAATGAATGAACGAAAATCACAGTGGTTGGTTATATATGTACAGTACATGCCCTTCCCGCATCAATGGATTCATTACTAATATATAAGATGAAAAATATACACCAAATATTATCTCTTGCTAGGTTATTAAAAGTCAGTCGTATATATACATATTTAATGTTGTGAATATGTCGTTCTTAAAACACATTCGATGAAAAGTAGCATACTGTTCAAGGATTCATGAAAATCTGAACCACATGTATAAAAAAGTGAGTTATGATTTGATTGTGATTTCGAGAATGAGAATAAACATCAAAACTTTTTAACAGCTCCGTATTCAAAAACATCAATGACACGTACCATCCAGTATGCTAATGCTACAGCAACCTTAAATTAGTTTCCTTACAATAAGTTACCCAGAGTAAATCACTGAAAATTTATTGGCACCAGAAAAGAATTGTGTAAAGATGTAAATTTTTTGCATATGATCACATGGTGTTATTTTATGAGAAACAACCAAGTCATTTGGCCGGTTTGCTGAAATTGTGCGAGGCCCAAATCAATGAACATTCATTATACGGACATGCATATACACTGAAATAAATGCATATCTCTCAGTCTAGACATGCATATCTACTGTACTGATAGAGAGATAAATGTATATATCTGACAGATAAACAGACACGCATTTATTTCTACATATATAGATGTTTGCATATACGAATATTTATTATTTAATATTCACAGTTTTAACAAACCAGCCAATATTATGTGATTTGTCCAAGTGGATTTGAGGTTCTCAAAACTTTCAGTCCATTAACCACTAAATGAAGTTTTAAAATTTTCAGTCCATCAACCCGTTAATGAAGTTTCAAAATTTTTAGTTCATCATCCCCTTAAGGAAGTTCAAATTTTCCGTCCATTAATCCCTTACAGAAGTTTAAAATTTTTCTTGAACCCCAATTTCAAAATTTCATTAAAATTACAAGTCACACATTAGACAATATAGATTGAAAATTTACCTTAATAAATGCATATCATCATAAAATCAAAATAAGGCATTAACATTCAATTTTGTTATTTTCACTCTCCACCCATATTGACTGTGGATGAGTAAGTGTGTGAGAGAATATGTGTGAATCTCCATGGACAGGTAGGTTGGTGGCCACACCTTCAGAAAACACCAAGGACAGGCACAGACCTCTATGAGCTTACAGAGACCCCAAACCAAAGATATAGCTGAATATTAAATAGACTTTTCATATCTTACTCATCTCCAGCCACTTATTGAAACCCTTTTGACTAAAGATATTTTTCATCCCCGATAAAATCCAGCCATTTTTCAAGCTCCTGTCCTTGATATTCATGGACCCCTTTTTCAACCCCTTGGCAAGTCACCAATCTCTTCGATGGTTACATTGATACCTGTGAGGCGATATCAACCACTTCGAGAACCCCTGAAGTAGATTGTCTGACTGTAATTTATATATTTTAAATGCAATTTTGTGGGACACTGTAGGTTAACTATGTGTAACTGTAACTAAAGGAAACTAGTTATTTATCAACAAAAATCTCCCATTTTATAAAAGGGAAAGATAAGATATATGAATGAAGAAAGAAGGATACTGATAATTCAATATCTGTAAGAAGATACAACTTCAAAAATATCTTTTATGCCTTAAACACAAATATAAGCATAATTACTAAAACAACCAGTTTATTACATTACTTCAGCATTATGTTGTTTCATTCCTCATATTTAAAATATTCTAATGAAAAACATTTAAACTGACCATTCATTTCATTTCATACAAGTCACAAGCAACAGATCATAGATTATACATACTAAGAAATATGTATTCTTATTCCCATTTCTTATCAGACTTGTCTCGGAAGTTTCTGTCACCAGAAACATGAAACTGTTATCCTTGTGTGTAATAATACCAGTCATAATGCCCTTGTATGTGCAAGATAAAATTCACAATGACAAATTTACTCAGTAGTAGTAGCACAGTTCTCTGTTCCTTGCATTCATCAACTGACTAGACATTTTCCTGCTGTTTTTGTAGTTAAAAGATCACATAACCCTGTAACAGTAGCTGCATGATATTTTGTGAGTTATAAATGCACTAAACAAGAAGGGCTTAATATCATATAATCCTATGATGACAGTTTGCCTCACAATTACAGGTTATATTATACTAAGCATAAAGGACTTGATATGCATTTTGAGATTCCTATATTCTGTCATGGCGGCATGATATCTGTTAAAACATACAGCAACTGTAGCCTGGTAAGATAAATAATTACAATAGCCTTCATGTAGAAGTACTGAATAAGGGATCATAGCATTAGTAAATAAAATGAGTAATTGAGGTACACTACCATTATGAATATATCATAGTTTTTTATATCCTGTGATTGGTTGTGCTGTGTTATAAATACCCAATATGAGTATGAATATGCATTAAAATAACTGAGGTAGGAGAAATGCATCTGGCAACTTGATAAATGTTTACCGCCTATTCAACCCCTGTTGTGCAAAAGGTGTCGCCTGGCTCAATTTTCCAGTAACTGGTGACAAAGCATTTCTTTTAATCCGAACAAAATTACAAATGGAAAATTGATTCAATCTCTTTAAATTTGTTATGCTTTCAAGATGTGTGGAGTTTATTAATTAGAAGTCCAAAGAGTATTACTGAATTATCTGACCTTTGTTAGTTTGGAAAACACAAATGCTGAAAATGAAACATAATAATTCTCAGTGTACCAGTATGTAGGTGTTATCAATTGTGAAATGTCTTTATATTTCACTGAAGTACATGTTATTATGGCAATGAATATGCCTGTTTGATTTGCTCTTTATAATGTACTGACTTACAAGTTACTATGGAAATGAGTATACTGATTTAATTTGCTCTTTAAAATGTACTCAGCTGAGATTCGGTCAATATTTTGTTAATATAACCTATTGCACACAGACAAGTTATGGATGTTTAAGCAGCCTAAATGAAGGATAAAATCAGACCAAGCTACAATTGCTTATATGTATGGCTACAATATTGAAGATGAATTACCCTGTGATACCATACAGTATTACATATTGTCTTCATATGGTTTACAAAGGAAGGGTTAAACACGGACATTGTTTTTCTTTAACAGTCAGACCAGGTGAAACTCAAAAAGAAAGAAAGAAAATAAAGATAGGTTGGTTATC